CCCAACATTTTTTTTTGAGGGGGAAGGGTGGGTCATTGGATACATCCCCCATAAGTGGTGAATATCAAAAAACAAAAAAAACAAAAGAAAACACACATACATACACACATACAGAAAGAAATTGTAGCCAATTTAAAAAAATCGACAGGAAAATATCAACTATACTCATGAAGTCAGTAATTGAGGTAAAATGCCCATAAACAGCAGTAGCATACACTCATGTCGCTGATCTGTCTTCATGCAGTGCTACGTATAGTGACGAATGGTGTTCAGCCCCCCTCCCTCCCTCCCGCTAACCGCTTTTTGAATTTTGCTACGTAGGGATGGTTTTAGAATTTTAGGGGAGTCACCTCCCCCCCCCCCCCCAAGTCGTCGGCACGGGTTTACGCCACTAAGGGGGCGGATATCCAAACGAATATACAGTGCTATATATTTCATGGACTCTCCAAGAACCTAACTACCATAGACCTGCTTTTCTTAAACAGCTTCTTAAACTGAGCACCGTGACAGCTCAAATTAAATTTCATTTCTATTCTAAGACTTTTGACGAATTTGTTGGGGGGAAATCCATGATTTTCGTGGTAGCCAATCGAAAAATTGAATTTAGTCCATCGAATTTAATAATGAAAAAAAAAGGCTAAAAACGCAGAGTTTCTCTTTATTCTGCCTTGAATAAGGGTAAATTCAACCAGCATTGGGTACTAGTAGAATGACTAATTTTAGCCAACTGTTGTTTACCAGGTGAACCGTCCAACAGTTGTTTAAAAAAAAGTACCCAACGTTGGGCAACATTGGAAAAATTGGTTTAAATTTTAACCAACTTTTTCTACCAACCAAAATAACCAGCTTTTTGAGAGTGTTCACATTCGCACAGTCAAGTAGAGTGTTGAAAAGATACTTATTTTTTACATTGACTTTTGTTAACATTAAAGGACCGTAACCTATAAATTGTTAAGTATAGATATAAATCTAAAACAAGAACATTTAAGGCCGTACAGCACTACGACTTTACAAAAAATTAAGCCCGCCAACACATGATTTTCAAGGAAAATGGTGGTTTAATTAAAGCAGTCTGATCAACCTGACAACGTATCTGATCAACCTGGTAGGTAACGTATCTGATCAGCTTGGTAACGTATAAGTGTCACTTGTCATGTTCAAAAGCTCTGAGCAAGGCGACCAATTCAGTAAAATAAACTTGAAATGATATCCTACTGCAAAAAGGCTTTTAAAAAGTCCAAGAAGGTTATGAAAGGGGGCTAAAAAAAGAAAAGAAAAAAAAGATAGGCCTATGTCTTATAGGCGTGCCATTATATTTGTCACAAGATACGTTACATCCCCGAACGTTAGTTGTATACTGTTTCATTGATTCTTTTTGCGACATATTGTGATTACTCGAATCCAAACATTTTGTAAGAGAAAATTATAGGTTTTTTTAATTGGACTGAGTATAAAATACATAAGATTATGTAAGTGTTCAAGAGCCAGCATTGCAGAATTGTTACGTACTTATTGAGGCAGTCACTTTAACGCTTTTGTTGGTAACTTTTGTGAAGTATTGCGTTCCGTTGTTTGTCCTGATATGTCTGCTTTTAGCGGCCGACAACCATAACAACCCAGTTTACATGATAAATAACTTGCCAGATACGTTACATAAAGGATTCATACAAAACGAAGTTTGTTTTGTCTCAATTGAATCTGTAGTGTAAAACATTGTTTTAATATCAAAATAATGTTCGTCGAAACGATTAATTTCGAGTTACAGGTTTTTCTGATCAATTACAGTTTGCTGATACGAGTAATTGTAGGAAATGACGTTTAATCGACTCTTGTGATAGCAAAGACGTTTCTTGTCATTGCACAATGTCATCTTTAAATTAGAATGTTTGTCCTTTGTCTCTTATAGACGAATTAACTCGTTTAAGGGTGTACGACTGTACGTATGCCTTGATAGGTATTTCTAAATATTTCGTTATAACGAGGTCCGATGGACTTTCACAATACTGTCGTTATAGCCGGAACCTCGCTAAAACCGGAGCGCAGTTTTCCCTATTCGTTGTGCACAAGGTACGAATTTCAGCCAAGGAAACTGATTCTGGTTAAAATAAGAGCATTTTGAAACTTCACTTTCAAAATTGAACACTTTACTACACGAGAACAAAGAAATGTCTCCACAAGGATACAAATTTGAGAATGGGTGTTTAAATTTGTCTTGAAATACGCAAACAGTTGACCGATTTGCAACAGAAATACAATGGTAGTGACTGATGGGATCCAATTTATGGGACCTCATTTTCTAGAGGAGGGCACTCAACTGTTTTTACAATTACAACGCTCCTTGTAGCCCCCCCCCCCCCCCTAGATTCTAAGAAGGTGGGGGATTCACGGGGGAGGGGCATAGGCCATGAGTGGGGGTAGGCCTTAGATACGCCACTAGAAAACTCTTGATATACAAAATTGTCGTTTGAATGCCTTGTTGCTGGGTAGGCATATCTACAAAACAAAATACTTAAACTATACTTTTTTTAAATTTTAATATGTTATTGCGAAGATGAAGTAGCCAAAAGCAGTTAAAGGTGTATTTCGAGTGTGACCCCGAAAACAAGATGTCATTTTCTATTGCTGTTTTCCTAGCGACATGAAAGTTATTCACTTTTGAATGAGACGAAAAGTCCACCCAGGTTTAGTTATGGAATTATTTCTTCACAAATTTTTCAGCAATACAAATTGTTGACAAGAGGCAAAGCTTTTTTGCAGTCGGTCATTTCAAGGTTGGGGGTCATTTGACGCCAGAGGGCGCTTTTCCTCGTTTGCTCATCTGAGTTTCTATAATTAATATTTTACAAATGTAATTGTTGAGAGAAGGGGGATCATGAATCGAGTATTAGTCGTCCTCTTTTGGTTTAACGAGATATAGGTTGATTTCAGCAAATTCTCCGCAGTCCAAATTCAATTGATAGTCGTGTAGTACCGGTATAGGACAACTCTATTTTTTACAAGTTCCTTTCACAGCTGCTTATGATTAATCAAAACCCTGCCCTCTTTCCAGAAGATATTATGATCTTTGCGAATTGATGATTCCAAACATATCAAATAACTTTTCCTGCTTGTATTATCTGTTCATCGCCAAATACTTAGCTAAAATATTAAGCCTAAACATGAAGTGTCTTTTCGTTCTTATATGGAACGGAGTCCTAAACTGCACTATTGCAATTCATTTTTTCAAAATGACTATCGCCAAAGATTGTATATATAGTACGGCAGATATGTGGAGGGATTGAGCCTTTGATGATACAAGAATGGCATTTGGCGCACAAACAGAGTATGTTATAAGAAAGATATCGGCTATAGGTTCATCGCAGATATGTCGTTTGAAAAAAAATATAGGTAGAATAACAAGCAATGGCCGTCATTTTGAAAATGGGGGCGTTGTTCAACCGGATGAATATGATCTTACGGGGGGGGGGGCGGCCCCCCGGCTGAGAGATGGTCAAAATAAGGGTTAAGTTATATTTTGCAAGGTGAGCATCCTAAAAATGACATACTTTCACCGGGATCGTATCCTCTGATGCACGAACTTTTAACCAGCAGCAGAGAAAAATGTGGAAATTGAAGGCTTTACCTGGGATTCAAGCAAAAGATGAAGTCTAAGTTATTTTTTAAAAAATGTTTATATTGAGTTACATGGCCCGGACAGCACATATTTTTTAATGAAGCTTCCCCTGCGCGGAATTAGGCAGGATTCATTTCTACAACGCCGAAACTGCACGCTTTGGAATTCTCCTGCTTGTTGCCCCAAATAAAGAGATGTTGCTTTGTTAATTGGTACGGTAGATGATCGTAAGCCAACAATATAAGTTTTGTTGAGGAAAAGAGTGTTTGCTTTGCTATTTTTAAGGTACTGGGTTGCAAAGCCATATCTGTGCAGAAACAGGAGGATTGAGGATACATTTCGACGAGGTAAATAGAGTCGAAAATAACATAAAACAAATGACTTTTAATCAGGCGCGAATCCATGGGGGGATTTGGGGGTCAACTCCCCCCCCCCCCATCTGTGTCAAAAAAAAAAAATATCATACAAATTCTTAAAAAATAAGTCCCCCTCCCCGTGACACCCCCAAAAAATTATACTGGTATAATGTCCGCCTGTTCAAAATAGGGTAAACCATTCTGTAATCTAGTGTTAATAATCGTCGAATTTGAACAGCATCCCTATCGAAATATGGTAACCCCCCCCCCCCAGCTTTTGATTGTACGGAGGCCAAGTGTCCAGAGAAAAAAACCTATGTACATTTTCAGATTTGTTTGCTTATGAACCCCCCCCCCCCGCGAAAATTCCTGGATCCGCCCCTGTATAATTCGTGTCTCAACTCACCCACTCTAGGGTATTCAAAGATTATACTACAGTATGTCTTTCTCCAAACTGCCCGGTTCAAATACAAGACAAGACCGATGAAAATGAGACCAGTAGTTGTGAAAAGGTACATGGAAAATGTGCTTGTCCTTGTATCCACTACAGAAAGTCTTAACTTTAAGGATTTCTGATGACAATTCTGGTGTCGTTAAAGATCATCGCTTTATTGGGTTTTTTTCGAATGGTTTATTGATATTTTGTCATTTTTTTTGGACCAAAAGTGAAGGGTTTTTTTAGGAGTCATATGAAGTTTTTTGATGAGTCATCAACCAAGAAACCACGATCAATAGACAAATCCATTAAGCCCCGCCCACTGAGCACGCGGGCAACAACACGTGACCCCATCCAACGTGCCAACCCGTGCGTCAAACGCACGCACACGCATGGTGGACTTGAGTGCGCGCATGTCAGTCTTAAATCGCAGCCGTGATTGGTCAAGAAATCGTGGGTGGGGCTCAATGGATCGGTGTTTCAATGGAGTTCACATCTTATAATTTTCAGCCAATCACGAACGTCTGCTGATACCACTCTCACGCTATCGGTCCTTCGTTACCACTATCGTAAGCTCTGCACCGTCCATTTACATCTCCAAAAAGTATAAAAAGTCTGTCTCGTTCTTCGAATAGTCATTCCGGCGATTGTCGTCAACTAGCAAGCTTATCTCTACTTCAGGAGCACAACAGCGTCAACTTCATGTAAGTAACTTACTTTGTGAGTATTTTCAATCCATCCTCCCTAATTTTCACGGCTATTACGAAGCGACAGTTTACATTGCGTTAGCCTATGTGTAGATGCCAAACGCTCGTCTTACGGACCTGTCACATACAATACATGACTCCATAAGAGTTACCAGTAGGTTTCTGGTTCGTTCAACTGGTTTCAACTGGTTCCCATTGATACCAACATAATTACCCGTTATTACTGGTTTGTTCAGTTGTTTTCAACTGGTTCCTGTTGATTTCATCAGGATCACCAGTTATTACAGGTCTGTTCAGTTGGTTTCAACTGGTTCCTGTTAATGTTGAGTCCATCAGAATTACCAGTTATTGACTGGGTTTTTCAGTTGGTTTCAACTGGTTTCTGTTGAGTCCATCAGAATTACCATCTGCCATTATTCGCGTTAAATCTGCGAACATATTCGAACGAACTCATCAGGCAATTACCCTAGACATGATAACGTCACGATTTGCTAACGCGCGCTTTCCTATGAAAGCCAGTTGGGGACGAGCTCTGTATATTAAAAACGTTATTTTAAGACGTTTATCATTCGAATTCACCGTTTCTAATATTCATATTCGTCCGTCACCATCGATTTAGTGCACTTCCAACGTTTAATTTCGTCTTTTGTGTGAAAGCATAAAATTCAGTTCAAGCAATTCGAACAACAAGTACACGTTTTCGGACCGGAGTATCGATTTCGTCTAGTCTACGCCAAACCTTTTTAGTCAAGATATTACATTGATTTATTATCAACAAATTCGATTTCTGAATGTTGCCATTCGGCAACAGCTTAGACGAATTTGATCTGTTATGATCTTTTTTCAAAGGGAAGTTGAAAGAAGTGTTATCTGGCAAGCGCTCATTGCGTGCGAAAATGGTTCTCACTGTATCAATAGAGGGCCCTGTTTCTTATGTTTTTTTCTCATGCAGAATTGTCGGCGTTTTTATCCCAGATTTTCTCATTCCCAAACAAACTATGGATCAGGGAACAATGTTTTTTCGATATGGTACATCATAATCTACATGTCTGTGAAGTTTTATAAAATTCGGCGGACCAGATCGCGTATCTCGAAAACTAAAGCGTTTTCGGCCTCTACGGTCCCACGGACTATCAGTCCAGTAGCCATTTTTTAAATCATTTGATTTGACGCCATAATTGCTGGAATCGTGTTTTCTGAATTTTAAATCTAGACATATGCAGATATGGAGAATTCAATTTATCTAGTTATTCACCAGCTAAATAGTCATTACAACTTTGGTATTATCATGATTAAGGCAACATGGCAGGAAAATACATTGATGCCCGATGCATGCAGGTATGGAACGAGTACCGTTCTTGTTGTGTATATTTGTATTATTCTGGGTTACCGTATCTTTATGCAGTCAAGATGAAGGCTTATATCTGCTTGGTCGTTCTGGTGTGCCTGGGCTCTGTCCTCGCGGCTGAAACTAACGAAGGTAACATTTCCTTTCTATTTCTCGTTTTTGTTTTTGTTTTTGTTTTGCTTGTTTTGTTTAAGCTTCAGTTCGTTATTTCCTTTTTGGGGAGTGGACGGAGGGTGCAATCACAACTCTTCCTTACAACCATAATCCAATACACAAACTGATACTGTCTATATGTTTAAGTTTGCATCAATATAGTCTTAAACATTTATTCCCCCTGCTAATTCGTGTTTCATCCCGAAAGTAGATTTTTTTTCAATTGCTATTTTCCCTCGAGTATAAAACAAAGACACACCGAAATCAACCGACGTTTAGTTTATTGAATTATTGCTTTAACAAATTCGACTTATTTAGGACCCGACAATAACTCGGTTCCATATAGCTCAAGTAAATTAAGTTTAATATAGCTCTATGGTCGCAGCTGATTGTAGATGAGCAAAATGGAAAGAACAAAGTTAAAGCAAAACTTAGAAACTGAATTCAAAAATCTATAGCACCCCGTGGAAGTTGTGGAAATTCTACCTTAATTCAATAAACCTCCTTGTTTTCTGTGTAAGAAATTTTCTGTGTAAGATCTATAGCGTTAAAATTTGTTATCCAAATGGACGCACTGAACTTTCTTTTTTTCTTCTCATTGCTCTTCAGTTGACAAGTAGGGGGCTGCTCAAGCAGAGAAGTTTCCAGGATTATTTTCCTCTTTTTGAAGCTATTATTCCCTTTAACGGATGCAGCTAAGTTGAACGACCCTTATTTAGCACTGAAGTACTGACACGTTTTAGTGGACATTGAAATGAACGAAAAAGCCAACGTAAAAGTGGAATATCTTCTGCATGCATTCCACCCATCGGACCAGTCGAGTACGTTTTCGTGGACATTCGACCTTAATTCAATCAAGATTGCTGTAATTTTCAGTGTAAAATCTAGCGTTAATACCGTTTTTTTATACGAACGGACACACTGACCAAGAATAAAATAATTTCGCCCCCTCTCTTTCCTTTCAGCCGACGAGGTTGCTGTGAAGCAATATCCAGAAGCATGTAAGTTTCTGCAGTTGATTTCTTCTTAATTTTCCGGTTAATCAGATTTAATGTTCACATTCAACACGCTTCCAATGTACCGATGCATTGTGTAATATTGCGATAAACTTCATATTTCAATCTGATTGCTTTATTTTTAGTCTGTGACATCAATGATCCATCGCCTTACCAGTGCCCTCCCGGCTGGCCCTGTATGCCAGCACCCACTCCCACGGGGGGCAAGTGCACACGTTGAGAATGGCAAATGTTGAAGGTAAATTTCACTTCTCCCGAAAAATTGACAGAACAGTCGTTATAGGGGTGTTTTTGTTACCAAGACGTAAATTTCAGATAATTATTCAATATTAAAATGAGGATTGTTTATTTTGGGGGGGGGTGTTTTGTTTCAAAACTGAGTTTTACTGTAATTGACTTACCTTGAAGCCAATGGAATCCTTTTTTTAAAGAATAGAATCATTGGAAAGCAACCGTGTGTCCCGTTTCCTTTATAAAGAGCACGGGCACGCATCTGTAACGCAGTGAACATAAAAAGTGAACAGTCAACATCTTCCCGTCTCATTGCTCTTCAGTTGACAAGTCTGTTTGTTTAAGTTTGCATCAATATAGTCTGAAACATGTATTCCCCCTCCTAATTCGTGTTGCATCCCGAAAGTAGATTTTTTTTCAATTGCTATTTTCCCTCGAGTATAAAACAAAGACACACCGAAATCAACCGACGTTTAGTTTATTGAATTATTGCTTTAACAAATTCGACTTATTTAGGACCCGACAATAACTCGGTTCCATATAGCTCAAGTAAATTAAGTTTAATATAGCTCTATGGTCGCAGCTGATTGCAAGGGCGGATCCAGGGGGGGGCCAAAGGGGGCCATGGCCCCCCCCCAAAACGAAACCATTTTTTTTTTTTTTTTAATGTGACATCGCAATAAAGGCAGGCAATGAGTACACCACCATCTTTTCCTCAAAAAAAATTGGTTAAAGTGGTCAGAAATTGCCTCAGATCGCACCACAGAGCATCTAGAATCCAAAAAATTTTCGGGGCCCTCACGGGCCCCGAACCCCACGCCGTAATTTTTGAGACACACTTTTTTGGGGGGGACCAAATTTTTTTTTGGCCCCCCCCAAAATTGTGTTCTGGATCCGCCCTTGGCTGATTGTAGATGCAGCTAAGTTGAACGACCCTTATTTAGCACTGAAGTACTGACACGTTTTAGTGGACATTGAAATGAACGAAAAACCCGACGTAAAAGTGGAATATCTTCTGCATGCATTCCACCCATCGGACCAGTCGGGAACGTTTTAGTGGACATTCGACCTTTATTCAATCAAGATTGCTGTAATTTTCAGTGTAAAATCTAGCGTTAATACCGTTTTTTTATACGAAGGGCAACACTGACCAAGAATAAAATAATTTCGCCCCTCTCTTTCCTTTCAGCCGATTAGGTTGCTGTGAAGCAATATCCAATATCCAGTTCTTAAAGCTGTATTCCCCGAGCTAATTCGTGTTTCACCCCGAAAGTAGATTTTTTTATTTCAATTGCCATTTTCCCTCGAGTATAAAACAAAGACACACTGAAATCAACTGACGTTTACTTTATTGAATTATTGCTTTAACAAATTCGACTCATTTGCGGCCCGACAATAAGTCGGTTCCAAAGAGCTAAACCAATACCGAAAAAGTGATTAAATTTCCTCATTTATTGTTTTGTTTTTGGTCTTCATTTCAGAGTCCTAAATGCCAACAGCCTCGGGATGGTGAAGTCGCAATTGATTAATTATTACGGTGAAGGGTTTAAGTTGTATTGTCTTTGCCTTGTTCGAGTTAAATGAGACTTTTTAAATTAACACGTAGTTGAAATTCCTCCCAAAGGAAGAAACTGTTGACAAAGCTATACTACCATGAGTAACACACATTGTCCGATTACCATTTTAATCTGATCCTAATCTGAATCTTTATCTGAAAATGAATATTAACAACACCCCATGGGTGTCACGATTGTGATGCTACCACTGCGAGTTTTTCTGACACAATTTGCTAAGGGAAATGTTTCCTTTGCATCGCATTCATGTATCAATTTGTCTTGTTACTAATAAGCCAATGAGGCCTTTCTTTTTAACCCTAAAAGGGCCGGGGCGGAATCCACCCCGCCCCCTCAACTTTTTCCGCGATAGCCTTGGATTTTTTTTTCGCGAGACGAGCTGTTCTGACTTTTTAGCCTCGAGTCTTGCGCATCTCTTGATTCCAAAAACATAAAATTCGGACCACGGGTTGCCACGCAGCGAAACTGAATATCCCCATATACGTATAGTGTACACAAAAAAGCAAAATTACCATTCGTACATATGAATAATTAATTAGCCATAATTCCAAAACCCTTTGACCTATAGTCATAACATTTCTTGGGTGTGTTTATTATAAGTTGTTCTATACGTGTTCCAAGTTTCATAATAGTTCGTCACTCGATGGCTGAGATCTTAGAGAGATATTTGATTCCGGCTGGGAGATGGTCAAAATAACCCAGCCCTTTTAGGGTTAAACTTGCGATGTAGGCTAATGGAAAATCATACGCTTTATCTGAACTAAACAAACGCATGAAAAGTCATTCTAGGTGGTGGGTTTTAATTCGTTCAAATGTAATCACATTTAAGATTTCTGTTGAATAAATGCTGTTGGCATGGTATGAGCCTCTGCGACTAAAGTTATCTCGTTGTAGCCTGGTTTTTATTGGTCAAATATAAATATGTCCTTTTAAATCATTGTAGAAACTGTAGAAGTTAGCAAAGTTGCCGTTGTTGTGTAAAACCAACCGAGCAATGTACTAACTGAGCTGGCTGGAGCATGAAATATGTGGCTTTGATCGCCATCTTCAAGCATTATTTGTTCGCCTGTAAAATGTTGTCTATTCAGTCTAAAAAGTCCCTGATCACATTTGACCCTAGCCTTTCGCAAAGTCCATCGTGGTTTAACTACTGGGGCGGGACGAAACGACTGGGGCGGGAGACCACACACGCGAGTAGCAAATCCACGAGGCCTTTCCAACTTGTCAAGATTTTCTAAAGTTTTTCTTTGTAATCTCGATTTTTGCTACCCTAAAAGGGTCATTAGCCTTTTAGGGCGCGCGTGGCTTCAACCCAGGCGCGTGCGCACCCCGGATGCTGGCACAAAATTTAAAAACAAAAAAAGCAAGTCTAGTGTTCTTTTTCCACGAGATCATTCGTGACGGCGTAATTGTTCTTTCATTATCTTATTATAATTTTACTTATATAAGAATTTCAAGAAATTATTTTAGTGTATGAACTTATTTTGTTTAGTTATTTCCTCTTACGTTTTCCAAAACTCACCCTTCTTTCACAAATGGACGCAACTCGGCAAAATCTGCGTTGTGATTGGTAAACCTTTCAGCACTTTACTTATTTGCATAAAAAATATGAATAATTCAACAAATCAAGTTAGAAAAAGCCTCGTGGCTTCGCCACTGGTGCGTGCTGTATTAGTCTTCGCTCCAGGCGCTCGCAGCTTCGCAGCCTTAAGCCCAATGGCCTTGGCGAAAGGCTAATTTGACCCGGAATGCGAGCCATATGATACTTTCCCGGGTCTCATTGAAAATTTCCGGGTCAAATGATCCAAAAAACTAATTCAGAGAAGTATCATTTCGACCTGGAAAAGTGTCGCTTTGACACGAAAAGGTATTATTTTGACCGAATTTAACCTGACTTGGTATTTTTTCCGAGTGTTTAACAATAGTGTTGTATCTCTTTGTTAAGATGTGATCATCTTTGGATGGAATTTTCTCCCAAAGTCATACAAAAATGAAAGATTCGTAAAATTATAAAATTAAAGATGATGGAAAAAGCTTAAATTCGAAGTGTGTCTCAATAATTTTGGAAAGTGCGCGTAATTGTCACTGAGGTCTACGTCAGTCTATTTACTGGTCTGCGCAACCTTTAATTAAAAATGGCTGCCTCCATGATGATGCAGTCTAGTTACAGTGAGGTCGCTCTTTCTCATGATGACAATTTTCTGGTGAAGGGCAAAATTTGGATCCTTGATGGACACTGGGAATTCGTAAGGGGGTGTCCCTCCCCCCGCGAATCTTTTTGTTTTTCAAACGACATCCGCTTCTCATCTCCTGATTGGTCCATTACAACAAACCCAAGATAGGCTTTTACGTCTTGTGAGAAATGTTCCTTCCCCACTTCAGTTATTTAAGGTAAATGAGAGGACGTGAACAACGCTCACTGGGGTTCGAACTCGGATGACCTGATTAGAAGTCAGGACTACTTCCAACCCGTCCACAAATCCGGGGTCAATCGTCGGAGATTTAAACACCATTATTCCTTGTTATATAACCTATTCTCTAAAGCCCAGGGCATCCTGAATATGCATAACGCAGAAAGAGCGCCGTCTCTTGATATTGTCCGATCTCGTTTGCGGAAAAAAAATCAAATTGCCCCCAGCTACGTAAGGAGCTGCGAGACGGTAACATAGTTTAAACCTAAGAGGGAATTTAGACTCCAATTAGAGAGCGGGAAATCTTAACGTAAACTTCATTACACAGCAAGGCGTACAAGCTGTTGAATGTTCAAGCCTGTTACTAAATAGACATTTGTTTTATAAAATATGATTCATGGGTCCTTCCTTTTGCCTGAAATGTGGCCTGGGTGAAAATTGCAAAGTTTTGCTTAATGAAAGAGTGAAGGCCAGTAAATAGGCCCGAAATTGTCTACGCCTGCCAATTCACGATTTGCATGCCCTCCAATTGTGCGGGTTTAGAGCACTTTTTTTTTAGTTCACGTCGTTTTTTGTTTTAAATCATCGAAAAAACCTGTTTGCTTCTTTTATAAAATTATACTAATTGTCCTACAATACACACATCGTTCACCAAGGGCAAAACGTTTCCCTGTAAGTCGTTGAAGGTTGGGGGTCATTTTGACGCCAGAGAGCGCTTTTCCTCTTTTGCTCATCTGACTTTCTATAATTAA